TTTTTTTATATATATATATATATATATATATATATATATATATATATATATATATATACATATGCTACAGTATATATATGCTACAGTATATATATATATATATATATATATATATATATATATATATATATATATACATATATATATATATATATATACATATATATATATATATATATATACATATATATATATATATACATATATATATATATATATATATATATATATATATATATATATATATATATATATATATATATATATATATATATATATATATATATATATATATATATATATATATATAGCCTGACTCGCAGTGGAGTGCTGCTACAGTATATATATATATATATATATATATATTATATATATATATATATATATATATATATATATATATATATATATATATATACATATATATATATATATATACATATATATATATATATATATATATATATATATATATATATATATATATATATATATATATATATATATATATATATATATATAGATATATATACATATATATATATATATATATATATATGACTGAGGGTTTGGTATGGGTCAGCAACCTTTTCATTCATTATTCTTTGTTTTCCCTCATCATTTTCAAAAAATGCTCACTTAATTTAGGCCAGCAAAAAAAGTGAGCAATTGCGCATATAAATATACTATGGTAGATAGTATATTTATATGCGCAATTGCTCACTATATAAATGTATATATATATATATATATATATATATATATATATATATATATTATATATATATATATATATATATATATATATATATATATATATATATATATATTTATATATATATGGTATATATATATATATATATTTATATATATATGGTATATATATATATATATATATATGTATGTATATATATATATATATATATATATATATATATATATATATATATATATATATTTTTTTTTTGTTGTTGTTGTTTATTTGTCTTGTTACGTTTATAAAATGATACATTTTTTATAAAGTTGTGTATAATATATAATTTTTATTCGGTTCATTTTGTTTATTTATAAGTATTACAAAAGTACATAATATTTATTTAAAAATCTATAAACTCTGTTAAAAAAAAACGCGTTTTACTCATTTTTTTGTTGCTTTTTCATAAATCTTATTAACTTTTATTATATTTCATACAGTTTATTACGTTATATTTAAATTATTTTAAGTTTAAAATCCAATTGTTTATGATAACACTGGTCAACAACAATTTTTCATCAGACTTGATTTTGGGTGGCCCAGATACAGTTTTTTTGTGCAGATTTCAAATCTGTCCTTAGTTTTTTTGTAGCACGTCTAGTTTTTGAGATGACATGCATTATGTTTTGAGATTAGTGGCAATTACTAATGATATTATTCCTCATTTCAGGTTTGATTTAATCTTTATAAAATAATTTATCAAGATGCCAAGAAAATGCAAGAATCAGCCTGACACCTTTTGTTATGTATGCGGCTTATTTACAGTGTCTGGTCAGCGGCGTAAAATTACAGCGAACTTGTCAAAAACCTACAAATTGTACTTTGGATGTCCGTTAGGTGATCAAGATAAAACATGGGCTCCACATATTATTTGCAAAAGTTGTTCTAGGGGATTGCGTGACTGGCTTCACAAACGGAAAACTGCATTTTCATTTGCCATACCCATGGTGTGGAGAAAGCCAAAGGATCATGTAACTGATTGTTATTTTTGCCTTGTTAATACAACTGGATTTTCATCGAAATATAGGCACAAATTCGTTTATCCAGATTTGGATTCGGCAATGAGGCCAGTTCCACATGACCCCTCATTAACAATTCCAATGCCTCCAATAGATGGATTAGATTCTGTCGAAGATGAGATGGAAGTGGACTCTTGTGATAAAAATCAAGATACTGCCGATCTTGACTATTCACCTGATGTCGAAAAAACGCCAGAAGTATTCACTCAAGAACTAAATGATTTGGTCCGAGACTTAACCTTATCAAAGGAAAAAGCAGAACTTTTGGGGTCACGACTTAAACAAAAAAATTTGCTTACAACAAACGTTAAAGTGTGCCACTATCGAAAGCGTAATCTTTAATTAGATACATTTTTTACTGTTGATGGCCCATTGTGCTATTGCAATGACATCCATGGACTGTTTGAAAGTTTATCACAGCCGCATGATCCTTCTGAATGGCGTTTGTTCATCGATTCGTCAAAGCGAAGCTTAAAAGCTGTGTTGTTGCATATGAAATCAAAAGCCTTGCATACCAATTACTCATTCTGTTCATCTGAGTGAGACGCATGAAAACGTGAAAATTCTCCTTGAGGCAATCAACTACAAAACTCATCAATGGAATATCTGTGGTGATCTAAAAGTCATTGGCATGCTGATGGGCATGCAAATGGGTTTAACAAAATTCTGCTGTTTCTTGTGTTTGTGGGACAGCCGCGCTGTAACAGAACATTACGTGAAACGAGATTGGGACCAAAGGAATGAGTATGAGCCAGAAAGAAATAGTGTTGAAAATATTCCTTTGGTCGATCCACAAAAGATATTTTTACCTCCTCTACATTTCAAACTTGGCTTGATGAAGAACTTTGTAAAAGCAACGGGAAAACCCAATTCAGCTGGATTTCAATACTTGGTGGAAAAATTTCCAAAAATGAGTGCAGCAAATTTGAAAGAAGGAATTTTTGTCGGACCTCAAATTAGAGAGGTTTTATGAGATATTAATTTCAAAAATTCTCTCACAGATGAAGAAAAGGAAGCTTGGCAAGCCTTTACTTAGGTTTGTGCTAACTTTCTTGGTAACCACAAGTCACCTGATTATGAAAAAGGCATTCAAGAGCTGCTCGATTAATATCGAAAAATGGGATGTCGCATGTCTTTGAAGTTGCACTTTTTACATTCCCATCTGAAATTTTTTCCTGAAAATCTGGGTGCAGTGAGTGATGACAAGGTGAACGATTTCATCAAGATATTCAACTGATAGAAAATCGCTATCAAGGGTTTTGGAATGAAAGCATGATGGGTGATTACTGCTGGATGCTTTATTGTGACAACCCAGACAAAGTCTTCAAAAGAAAGTCATATTCACGGCGATTTTGAGCAAATGTTGTGATAATTGAAGTTAATAAAACATTGTATATGTTAATACTGACTTAAATTGTTGACAATTGTACGGATCTAAGATAGTAATAGGGTAGGAGATGCAAATTCATACAACACAACTTAAGGCAAATGTCTTAATTTACCTGAGATTTGCAAAATAAGAGGGGCCCTTATCTCAAAATGTGTACGTGATAGAGAAAAACTAAATAGATATTTGGAATCAGAGTGAAAAGTTTATCCAGAAAAAAATATTTTTATTCATGATGAGTATAATTTTTATACAAAATGTATAATTTTATATAAAAATCATACTCATCATGAATAAAAATGTTTTAATTTTTTTCTAAGTTGCAACATTTGTGTATAATTTTTATACAAAAATGTTGCAACTTAGAAAAATCGCGTTCATGATATTGAAGTTTTATAGTCGTTAATTTTTTTTGCTTTGTTATTTAACATATATAAGTATAATATGAGTTTCCTCTTGGAAAAAAAACGATAATAGAGTATAAAAAAGTATTTTTTTTTTCAAAGAAAGGTAAATCAAAAGTAGAAAATTTAAATATGTTGAAAAAAAATTAACCTGCCTTAAAAAAATTAGTAGTGCAAAAAAAAAAAAGCATATTCATAAACCTTGAAAATATTCTTCTTTTAAAAAGTATTAATTAAGACATCACCAACGACACAATAACTGTACGCTGCAAGAAAATGTTTTCGTCGCATAAAAAACATTGTTTTTACAAATTTATCACTTTAAAAAATGTTTGGCATGCTTTAATATGCAAAAATACTAGTACAGTATGATAAAGGTATGTAAGTACATATGTCATACTAATTTCAAAACATACGAAGCTTTTATTCAATTGCAATTTTACCCGACTGTTTTTAATAAATGTTTTTCGTTTTATATGTTTACAATACTTGTACAATATACTACTTTCTTTATTGCAAATCGGCAATTCGTCTAAGTTTATTATTTTTGCAAGAACCTGTGTTTCTTTTGCAAAAAGTTACAGAGAAGTATTGTTTATATAAAACAGTTGTGAATGAGGATATTCTCTTGTTTGCGTTGAAACTATAGTTTCATAAATTTTTAATTTTTAAAACAAAATGTCATTTAATGTCATTTTATTGTAAAACTTAAATTTAGTCTGTTTATCTTATGTTTATTGCTTGTTTTTATATATTATATATATTACACGTTGTAGCAATGCTTTAATGATGACTATGTTGACTATGATGTGTATATGTCTCCTTAATATGAATCTTTTTCTGAATGTGAGTAACCGCTTTAACTTTTGTTATGTTATTTTAAAAATCTTTAATTTATAACTTATATTTAAATTATTTTGTTTTAAAACTTAAATAAATTATCAAAATTAAAAACTGTCTATATATATATATATATTATATATATATATATATATATATATATATATATATATATATATATATATATATATATATATATATATATATATATATATATATATATATATATATATATATATATATATATATATATATATATATATATATATATATATATATATATATATATATATATATATATATATATATATATACATATATATATATTTTTTAAAGTTATTTTATTTAAGGGTTTAACAATTTTAATAATAATATATATCATTTTAATATAATGTTAATTTATACAAATAATATTATTATATAAAGTATTATCTATTTAATAAAAATAAAAATTTTATATGAATTCTTTTTTAATCATAAATTAATAAAAATTTTATGAATGAATGTTTAGAATATTATAATGTATATAATATTATAATTTTGATTGTTGTTTTAATTATTTGTTTAATTTTTATTAATACTTTATTTAACTTTAGATCGTCTAAATGAAAGTAATGACTATGAGGACGATTTGTTCATTGAATGTTTTTATGAAAGTCAATCATCATTTACAAATGAAATAAAATCAATTGTTGATAAAAGATGGTGGATTATTTCAATTGACGATAGAAAAACTTCTTACTTAACTTCTTGTGAAAATTATTTCGTAAATCATTACGTAAAATCTGGAAGAAAGTTATCGTCGTTAAGTGTTTATAAAAGTAATTTAAGTGATCAAGAAAAAAAACTTTTAATTCAATGTTCAACTAATGTTAGCAATATCTTTTTTTATCGTCCGATTAATTTGGAAGGATGGAAACCGAAAGATAAGATTGAAGAGTTGAATATATTGATCTCACGTTATTTAATAACAAAAAAAAATTTTGAAGAAAACTTTCTTCCGTGGTTTAATCTTTGTGAAGAATTATATCTTGACCTTCACGACGATATTGATTTTATTAAAGAAATTTATGAATGGATTCGTTGTTCGAATGTCAAAAAGTTTTGGTTCAAGTACCGTGAAAAATATTTTGATAACCTCGATGAACTAAAATACTTTACAACATGATAAAATATTTGATACCTTAAATATATTAAATAAAAACATTAAATACAAATAACTGATGAAATATTTATCGTATTATTTTATAATAAATACGTTTTTAAATATACAAAATACGAATTGATTTTATTTTTTTATTAATAAAATATCATATAACGAATTCATTTTCAAATATATTAATAAATATAATTATAATATAAATTAATAAATTTAACTATTATTATGGTGTTTACTTATTAATTATTAAATTATTATGTGTTCAGTTATTATGTTATTTAACAATATTTTTTTAATAATATTTTCAATTAATATTTGTTAAATATCATGTGAATATTTTTATGTTTTATTATGTTTAAGAACTTTATCTAAATATGCAAATTAAAATAAAATGATAAATTTTTGTAATTTTAATATCAATTTCGTTTCATATAGTATCGTACTATATTCAATATAAAGTCATTAGTTTTTGAGTTGATTGAACTTTGAAAAAACCTAATTTATGTTTATAATTTATGTTTATAAAAAAATTAACTTTTCACGGTTTTCACCGTTGTTTCTTTAACAGATATTCGTCGTCAACAAAATAAAAAAAATCGATTGTTTAGTATATTTTTTCTTAGAAGATTTTCAATTCGAATTTTCATATTTCATCTGACGTTTTTACTTACATTTTAAACCGACATAAAATTTTACTTTAATCAAAATGGTTTATATAAAAAAATGTTAACAAATATTAAAACAAATGTTTTAATTAAAATGAAATTTTTAAATGGTTTTCAATTTTTTAGTAAAAAGTTTTGTTCAGAAATACTTTAAACATTTTTTTTATACGACTAGCAAACAGACTTTACGCAATGTTTCTTATTGGATTTAAGTTCTTTTACATTTAAAAATTATTTTTTGTTCTCTCTCTCCATAAGTAGCAGTTTTAAACCGTCATTTTAAGGTATAATAAATTATTTACGAAGGAAAATTTAAATTCTTTCACTTATAACCAAATAAAGTATTGGAAATAAAAAAAAAAGATAAAGTGCCAAAAACTATAATATTTAAAACTCTGATTACACATAATAAAAAATATTGGAAAAAGTTGAACTGCTTTTTAAGCTAGAAAGAACTTTTTTAAAAAAAAAACTAAACATTTTTAAAAAAAATCTTTTTTAGAAAAGTTCAGTTTCAAGTTTAGACTTTTAAACGATGCGTTTGATTGTTTTTAAAACCTCGAATAAAACTTTTTTAAACAATCATTATAAAAATAGAAGTTTTTGAAACAAAAAATAATTTGGTTACGCATATTTTGATATTCAAAACTTAAAACTTCTAAAAAAAACAAACTTTAAATCTTAAATATTTTTACAAAAGAAATAAAGAAGTTATTAACTATATCCAGATCAAATAAAATGATCAATACATGCTCTCGTTTAATTCTCATCTATACAATATTTTGTTTATCTATGTTACTATAATGTTATTATATTAATACAGTATTAATAGTAATACTGTATTAATATTAATAAGTATTAAACAGAATTGCGCAGGAAACAGAAAAAACGAAAGTCAAATACAGAGTCATGCAGTTAGGTAATATCTCATTAATGCATATTTAATTTACTGTCGAAGAAAAATAGTAGACGTCAAACTTTTCTTGCTGAAATATAGGGTTTATAAAACCGTAGAATATTTTTCAAATTATTGCAAAATTAACACAATTAAAAGATTTATTGATAAAAATAAACATATTTAAACATTGAGACAGCCTAAAATATGAATAGAATATTTCTGTTATAATTTGTTAAAATCATTATAGTTTGTATATTGTTTCAAGTCTTGGTTCTAGTTATTAAAAGAATGAAAAAAATACGCAGAAAAATGAAAACCAATGGTAAGTTTAAAAATGACCTATTGAACTCTGAGTTAAGATGATCGCAATAGAAATGATTAACACTGCGTCAACAAACTTTTTACTTTCCATTTGCTATAAAGCATAATATTCTTCAATTTGCAAATTACATGAAACTTGTTATTATAAAAAAAAGAACAAAAAAAAAAAACAAAAAAAAAAAAAAAAAAAAGGAGATGAAAATAAAATTTTTGAAAAACAACGAACAAAAAATGTTTAACAACATATTTTAGATAAGTATACTCACAAACAGACCATGGTAATTTCTGATTCCATCACTATTATAATATTGTATTCTAAAACTCAATGCAAGATTTTATTACAAGATCTCAAACATAATGCTTTTTTTAAGTCAGAATTAATTAAGTCAGATATTTCACACCTTACCTATTTATTTATGTTTTCCCAAACTGCTCTCAAATTCTTACTCTGTAATTATAAGTAATTGCCGAGCCCCCGTTACATTGAAGCTTTGTAATATTTGCCGAGCCCCCGTTAATAATTGCCTTTAAATATTTATAAAATTAACATTCATCAATTGATGCTTTTATATTTAAAGCAAAGCGTGTAATTATCGCCAGTAACATTTCAATCTTACTTTAATGAAGTTTCTCATAAATATCCTACTAAATTTTTAGAAAACAACTTCGTTATTCCCATAACCCATCTTAAAATAAGTTCTTACCAAATTCAATACCGTGGACCTTGTGTTTAAAAATTTTTTTTTCGCATTTTAATGATAAACTAAAATTTGTCTTAAACTGCACAATGGAAAGTTTTAAGGCTGAATCAAAACAACATTTAATAAACATGGACTTTAGTAGATAAGATTTCAAATACATATTTTGAAAACAATTGTTTGATTCAAAAATTATTTAAAATCTGAAATACAATTCTTTAACTTTTTTACTACAATTCGTTAACTTCTTAGATTTTTTTTTTACTATTATTAAATAATTTGTGTTTTAGTTGATATTAAATAACTAGTAATAAATATTTAGTTAGATTTGATTGTTTATAATAAAACACAAAATTTTTTGTTGAATAATAACTTCTTGGTTAGCTATCTTTGCTTTCATTTTATTACTTTAATTATTCTGTTGAAACTTTGTTGTTAAAAGTTTCAGTTGTTCATTTTAAAAGTTTTTTTTATTGAACGTTTTTTTGTGTATATACTGTTTTATAATTATTTATTTGCACGTAAATATATAAAACGTTTACAAAGCATCAATGTAACGGGGGCTCGGCAATTATTATTATTATGCTTAATTAATTGATGCTTTTATATTTACACGCTTTGCTTTAAATATAAAAGCATCAATTGATGAATGTTAATTTTATAAATATTTAAAGGCAATTATTAACGGGGGCTCGGCAAATATTACAAATGTTAATTTTATAAATATTTAAAGCTCAAAGTTTACGTAAGAGAGGCTCGCAATATGCATTTCTGTTTGCCCTAAATATTACCCTGCAAGCATGTTTTTGTTTACTATAAATTTTTTTAAATTTTGTGTGATTTGTATTACCCCAGGCAATGTAACAGTAACAAAAATAACTGTGTATAAAGAAAAAATATAAATTTTAATAATGCATTTTTTAGAAAATGTTTTGTTTTATATAACATGGAAATACTTTTTGATTTCTTACTTTTAATATATTTAACATAAAACTTCAATGATAATTTTATATTTAAAATCACTCCTAGGAAGTTTGTTGTCAATTGCCTTTTAATTATTATGTTATTGATTAAAAGATTAGGTAACTTAAAAGAAATATTATTGGCTTTACTACGTATATGGAATTAGATAAATTTAGTTTTCGTTACATTTAATGAAAGTCGATTACTAATAAACCACTCGCTTATCTTATCTAGTTCTTCATTAAATTTTTTAAAAAAGAATAATAATATCTTTGTGAGAATAAAACAAATTAGAATCATCTGCAAATAAAACAGCATTTAACTTTTTTGATGGTAAATATAAGTCATTTATATTTTAATATGGTTTAAAACCTTTTTTAAACCATATTAAACTTTTTTTTAACACCATAGTGTTCTAGCTTTTTAATAGTATTTCATGGTTTGCTGTGTGGAAAGTTTTGGACAATCAATAAAAATTACTAAAGTATAGCAATCATTATCGAATCCGTTAGATATATGCTTAATTAATTCTATTATTGCATGATCAGTAGAATGGTTCTTTTTAAACCCGTATTGATTACTGTATAAAATTTTGTTTTCAGTTAGATGGTTCTAAAATCTATTATACCCTCTTCAGATCCCGCGTACATTACAATGGGCAACCGTTAAAAATTCATAGTTTATTATCGCAACAAGCTAACAATTCAAAAATGCTCTAAATTACAATGGACATAGTATTCCCATAATTCTTAGACTAAAAAATAATAAGAAAATGAATTTTCTTTGTTTACTAAAATGGCGACAAATGTGGGGAAAACTATTTACTCAAAACAACGACTTAAATATTAAAATTTTGTATTTTAAATTTTGTTTTTACGCTAAAATAAATTGTATTATTAATATTATTTTTGGGGTATTTTAACACGAATTATATTTATTTAACTTAGCTTAGAAAAATTTTATAGTCAAACAAATAAAGTGTCCATTACAATGGACAATGGGTTTAAGTTTCGATTAATGATGTTTTTCTTAAAATGGGTTTTGTGGGTAAAATAGGAAATCATTATGCAAACAGGGTTAATTGAATATGATTTAGAGTTTGGATTACTCGTATTACTGATAACATTAAAATAATAGGAGTTAATAAAACCACGTTTCACTAGTTTTTTAAAAATTAATATGTGTAATATTTTATTGAATGCATTTAATCGATTTTATGTATTACAGTTTCGCTGAAAGATGTCTTGGAATATAGACAAAGATAATTCAGATTTATCAGACTTGTCAGATGGGGAAGATTTCAAAAAATAAAACTTAAAATGAAGAGGTGTCTGACAAGGATCATGATTGGGACAATCATTGGAAATAGAGTTCCTAAAGAAATTAAAAAATTATAAGATGATGAAAGTCTTTCTAGACTGGGTCGTGGAGCACATGAAATGATAGTAAGGCAAGATCGAAAAACTGCTTTTGTGAATTGGTTTGACAACAAACTTTCATTAATTTTTCTCACGAATATTGATGATTCAAGGTGAGAATTATTAGGAGTTCCCGATAATCATAATTATTTATCA